ATTGATGCAGAAAAAGCTTTTGATAAGATAAAACATCCCTTCATGATCAAGACTCTCAGCAATATCAGCATAGGAGGGTCATTTCTCAACACAATAAAATCTATCTATGAAAAACCCACAATGAACATCATCCTGAATGGAGAAAAGCTGAAAGCTTTTCCACTAAAAACTGGTACAAGAAAGGATGCCCGCTTTTTCCACTCCTTTTCAATATAGTACTGAAAGTCCTCACCAATGCAATAAAAAATTAGAACAAAATAAAAGGAATTCAAATAGGAAAAGAAGAGGTTAAACTCTACTTACAGATGACATGATTGTATACATAGAAGACCCAATGGTTTCCATGAAAACATTCCTGGAAGTAACACATGAGTACAGTAAAGTTGCATGATACAAAAATCAGCATACACTACTCTATAGTATTTCTATATACAAACAACAGGCAGACTGACATAGAACTGAAAAAAATTAATTCCATTTACCATGGAAATTTTAGCCACAAAAAGTATAAGATACTTAGAAATAAATCTAAACAAAGAAGTTAAAGACCTCCACAAGGAAAACTATGAGAAGCTATAAAAATTAATTGAAAAATGACACAAAAATGCATTATGCTTATTTAGAACTTCCGACAGGAGAAGTTTTATTTAAATTCATACAGCCTTCCCACTGTGCCTCACAAAACTCATTACCGCTTCTGCCTTAGAACACTCATTACTGTTTTGAGACTTCATGTTTAAAATCTCTGGCTGGAGGGACCAGCAGTTAGCGTAATAACTATGTCACTGGACTCCTATGTAACTGACCATGGTTTGAGTCCCAGACCCAGTGGCTTAAACTCACGCTGGGCGCATGTGCATGTGTGCGTGTGTGCCCAAGATCCCGAGAGGAGAATGGAGGAGAAGGGATTGTGGCGTGGTCATCCCCCGGAGGGGGGAAGGGGGTTCTCGCTTTCTGTCTCTCTGTCTCTCTCTGTTTTTCTGGGGAGTGCACACGCCCTATAGCAAAAAAAAAAATCTCTCCAAAAAAAAAAAAAAAAGAATTACTAACAAAAAAAATTTGTCTGGAATCACACAAGACCCCATATTGCCAAAGCAATCCTGCACAAGAAGAGTGGAGTGGGCAGGATCTCACTGCCAAACCCAAAAACACACTACAAAGCTGTGGTAATCAAAACAGCATGGTACTGGCACAGAAACAGACACGTGAACCAATGGAACAGAATAGAGTCCCCAGAAATAAATCCCCAAACATACAGTCAACTGATTTTTGACAAGGGGTACCCATCAATCCAGTGGGAAAAGGAAAATCTCTTCAGCAAATGGTGCTGGAAAACAGGATTTCCACCTGCAGAAAAATGAATCTGAACCCCTACCTCTCACCTTTGACAAATATCAACTCAAAGTGGATCAAAGATCTCAACTTAAGACCTCAAACTATAAAACTGCTACTATAAACACTGGAGAAACTCTGGGAGAAATTGGAGTAGGCAAAGACTTCTTAAATAAGACCCCCAAAGCACAGTCGATAATCCTCAAAATAGACAAGTGGGATTACATCAGACTAAGAAGTTTCTGCATGGCAAAAGACACAGTAATTAGTGTGAATCAACAGCCCTCAGAATGGGAA